TTTTTTTCTTCTGTTTGGTTTTCGATCATTATCTCAGTACTAACCCACTCTGTGTTGGCTTAGCTCACCAATGAGTGCAAAGATAAATAAATAAATAAAATAAATAAACATAAGATCAAGCGTTCAGTTGACTAACGTACTAGTGGCACCGTCTTGACCCCTTTTTCCTCCTTTTTTCTTCTTATTACTGCTTGTGCAGTTTTTCTTGCTTTCAGATAACCAGAAGGAAGATCAATTTTCTAGCACTGCCCTATCAACTGCCTCTTTTTGAGCTCCCTTCTTGTCCCATGAACGTCTGTCAACGTCATAATTCAAACAGAAATCCACTCATCCTGGTTCATCATCACCAAGGGTTCGGTCAACTTTGGGATCAAAATGAAACAAGTAAGATCAATCGATTCATATTCCTGTATCCTATTTGCATAGAGCTGCCTAGGTGCAGTGCTGGCCCCGGTTCAAAGGAGCTCGTGTAAGCCTATCACTCTCATCCGCTAGATAAGGTGACATTCTTTGAAAAAGCAAGTTACTCGGGAGAAAGTTCACAAATCCTGTAAGGTTGATCTTGAAGGGGAGGTGGAGTAAAGTTCAGTCGTGAAATTCTGTTGAGCACAAAGCTATCATTCAAAACTGAAGCCGAACCTAGTGAACTACAAGCAAAATACAACAGATCGTTACAAAACTTTCTGAACTTGATCAGACTTATCTAAGTTGGCTGGGGGAGTTTCCAGCGACCCCAAGGGAAAATGCTCATCCGTGCAGTTTCCGAAAAAAAGAACTTCTGAATTTTTTTAGTTACTTTTCAAACACGGAATTAAAAGAAAGGTTGCAAAATCGGTCCAGAACACACTCGACTGTTCCTTGCTAATCGCGCCCTCGAATGAAAAGCCTCTCATTCATTTCTTGACTTATCAGGATTCCTTCTTCTTCAGGAGAAGTGGTCTGCCATTAAATTCACCCTATAGAAGGGACTGGCACGATGTTTGGTTTGGATGAGCTCCACTCTGAAAGTGGACCGCCTGTGGTAGCAGCACTGCTTGCCACTATTCCCATTCTCTCTTAAAAGTATTNGTTTGGTTTTCGATCATTATCTCAGTACTAACCCACTCCGTGTTGGCTTAGCTTTGCTTAGGCTTATTTATCTTTGCAATGAGTGCAAAGATAAATAAATAAATAAAATAAATANATTTGAAATGATGGCACACAGGGGGGGGAGGACGGCGTAGTGGGAACTGGTCCAAGGGACATTGGGTTTTTCACTGGTTTTTCACTGGCTCACTACAGCAACATATTGCTGTAGTGAGCCAGTGGAAAAGGCGAAGTTGTAGTGAGGTTACTGATCCTTAGCGCCCCAACTGCCCGCCTCCAGGAGAGGGAGAGTCCGGCTTCAAAAAAGGGATTGAATAGCTCCGGAAACCTTTCTCCTTATAAAGGTAGAATGGAGGAGCGACCAATCCCCAAAACCATAATTACTCTTATTATCTATTATCCACTTATTTTACTTTTTCATTACAGATTATGGTAATATTAAGTTATGCTCTTTTATGTTGACTTAGTCCTTTGCAAACTTTTTCTTGCTCTAGTTTGTTTTGCAAGAATTAGTATGAACATCTATCGGATTGTTACCGATGCACCTTGATAAACAAACACCAACAATTTATTTTTTGTGAAGATTCCACAATTTTTAACAAACGCACATATCTGTCTCAGCTGACTGTAGAGCGTAATTGAAACACATTTTTCATACACACTTCAAAGAACCTTTTCATTATTTCTTTCTGCGCGGCTTCACAATAATAAAGCCATTGATTCGCTTTACTTTTTAATCTTTCACATACTATTTTTACTTTTTTTTGCTGCTTATTTGCGTAAACCCTGTGGAACAAAAATGAGACGGATCTTGCAGTGTTGAAGGAAATGGTGGTGTAACCAATCGAGGTGTAAATAATATCAATAAATAGCTCTGAAAAAAAAATAAAGAAGGTGCAGGATCCCTTTATCTTCTTTCTCGTGATGATACTTTTTCAAATTCAGCAATGGAGATATCCAATGGATACTTCTAGCTCACAAAAAGCCTCGTTTTCGCGAAGTCCAGGATTTTTTTTCAAGAGCACAACAAAAAAACAATGCTTTCACGAGATTCATAGGCTTCCATGAAAAAACTTAGGGCTTGTGGATTGGTTTTTTTTNAGGGAATTAAAATTAGGTGTTGAACCAGTATGTGACGACAGAAGTTGCATAGAAGGGATGCTTGGACGAGCTGTTCAAATGTGCGTGTTACCTGCACGCATGCAGCAAGCTGCCTGCGTGCAAGCTGTGGGTCCTGGTATGAATGCTGCAACCTCACAGCCTCTACAACGCTGAGATCTCGTCCGCCTAAGGTGTGTACGTCGGCTAAGCCAGTTTTAGGGCCTGACCTGGCCGCTTTTCGTCCCCTGTCTCTCGGCGTTTCTTGTGCTATCCTCGGGGGCCCCAGCTTCATGTTGAGGAGAAATTTTAGAAATCATTTTAATCGTGAGCTGCGCCTTTAAGCGGTCACTCTTCGCTGAACGAAAGACACAAGTCTGAGTTGAGAAGTCGTTTTTCTCAAAGATGAACCGAATAGTCAGGAGAGGGTGAAGTTAGAGCGAAGAATGGACTTTAGGGAATCACCTTCTGAATTGAGGCACAGGTCCGCACCCACCCATAGCATTGCTGCGGACTTGTGACAATCAAAATTCACCTTATCAGATGGCCAACATCAAGTATGTTCTTAAGCAGGTATGGCATCGATGGCAAGCAAAGGCTATTGAACTTACGGAGTTGTAGGAAATTAAGGATTAAATGACGCTGCTGAGAGAAAAGGAGAGGGCAAGACCAATTTTTCAGTTCAGAATAAGATCTGACAACAACAAAGGAAATCTCAATGCGGAATTCATCTTTGTTAATCCTGCCTATCCGAAAAAAATTGTCAAACAAGCTCTTAGATATGGTTTCTGGCGTTTTGATTTGATCTTCGGTATGGTAAAAGGAGGATACCTTCATTTACATTCCCCGAAAGCCACATCACTTATTGGCTTTTAGTACAGAGGCCTGCAGGGATTGAGCTGCAGTAATTCACTCAAAATTATGACCCGCTACTGGAACCGTGGCTGAGACGAGAGTAGCGAGAAATCCCTCAGCGACAGTTCTGCTGGTGCACTCATGGAGCTTTTGCGCGGATCTGTGCTGTTTGCCAACGCGTCGAATCGAGTGGCTGTAGTTGGCTTGAGCCTTGAGCCTTGAGTGCCGTTGTTTGCCGAAGTCGATGATTCGATGAGCAGCAGCAGGTAGCTGCTGACGAACGAACCAACTCGACCCGCCTCCGACTCAACTTCAGCCGCCCTTCTCGCTGCCAGGCATATCAGCGTTAAGGCCATCACTAACAGCCTAGCGCTACCTATATTCACCTCATCGTCATGGACTACGAAAACGATCCTGGATGGCAGTATCTGCGACGATCCCGGGAGCAAATGCTCGCGGTACGTCTTCGACTACCCATATGGGCCTTTGGGTCTTTACAATAAACGTTCCAGTTGTATTATCTATAATAAAGTCAGGATCCCCTTTGGCACGTGAATAGACCGTGAGGCCCAGACACTTGCTCAGAAAATGTCGTACACCTCTGGATAAGTAATAGAGAACACCTTCACGGGCTGGGAATGGGTAGAGTGCTGGATTTGTCGCACAAAGCTATACTTTTAAATGTTGAGTCCCTGTGATTGATTACTAAATTTATGGAGTCTTCCACTTTTCAGAATTGAGCTTACTAGCTTTACTGAAGCTCTTTGATTTTTCGAAAGAAGAATTAGCTCCGTTGTTTTAGTATACATGAATGTGTACATGATACATAAAAAATATAAAGATAACAGTTTTAGGTTTTCAACAATGTTTACGGTAATTTTTGGTGATTTTTCGAAATTTCTTTCTCTACTAATCTGGGTATAAAATGGCAAAAAATTCCAGCTCCTCGTGCTAGAAAAAGCATTTTCTTTTAGTAAGGAATGTTTCTGGTGCTTCTAATCAGATCCAGCGGCCACTATATAGATGGCAAGGACCTGATGCGAATCACTGTGTAGGCCTCGTGATGTTACTTCACTTTTTACCATTATATTATAGCCGTGTTGTAGTTTTAGATCCAGCATAGTAGTCAGAGCTGTTAAAAGTCGAAACGCTTCCTGAAAACTCAGCTCTGTTGCATTACCCACTGATTCATTCTTGTATTTTTGGGCGGACTAGGCACTTACAGCAAAGTAACACATCAACCTAAAAGAAGCGACGGTTTAACGTCAGAAGTACTTCCAATTGAAATAACATTCCAATTCGTTTGTGGTTAGCAAGGTCGCTGAAGGAATAGCAACCGTACAAATCAATATCGCAAGGGATTACAGTATACAGACTCATTTCAGGACCATATACATCTACTGATCCATTTTTCAGGATCAAAGCAAACCGTATGACTCGAAGAAAAACGTTTGGGTACCGGACAACGAAGAGGGCTATGTCGAAGCAATCATTACAAAAACTGCTGGTGATAATGTCACTGTCAGCATAGGGCAAGGCAACGAGGTATGAACCGATTACTGACGGAATATTGATCGGCTATTGATTGATCAAGGCGACATTCAGATCAGATTTTTCATTCATCACTGATTGATTGGCTAAGAAAGATGAATTGTAGAGTTACCGCTGATGATGGNCAGCATAGGGCAAGGCAACGAGGTATGAACCGATTACTGACGGAATATTGATCGGGTATTGATTGATTGATCAAGGCGAAGGCATTATTTTACGCTTAAGCGCTCAGATTCTTCATTCATCACTGATTGATTGGCTAAGAAAGATGAATTGTAGAGTTACCGCTGATGATGGGAATCCAGTGCTCGAAGGAAAATCAAAAAAAAGGGGGAAGAATGGAGATAGTTAGAAAAGAAAGAAATCGAAAATTTCACGTTTCGCTTTGTTTACTCAATTACTGAGTATAATTATCCCGAAACGTAAGTATAGATAAAGTTCGGGTGGCATCGGCCCAAGCTCAAGCATTGGTCTTAACAAGCGCATTGTAGTTGGAAAATATTGCATTGGCTAGTGTGGAAATCAAAAAGTTGGTAGATTTGGCGAAGTTCATGTCCAGTTAACGTAAGCGTGATATTTATGATGAATGAACTAAAATAGCTCGATTTGCTCGATCAATATAAGGATACGAGTGCCTTTATGTAGCTCTGTTGGTTTACATTTGAATTTTTCTAATTGCAGAAAACCTTCAAGAAGGACCTCATACAGGAGATGAATCCGCCGAAATTCGAAAAAACCGAGGACATGTCGAATTTGACATTCCTCAACGACGCCTCTGTACTCCATAATCTGCGATCACGTTATGCTTCTATGCTTATCTATGTGAGCTTGAACTTTACTTTATTTCCAGCTACAGATCGAAATTGAAGGAAACATCGTGACTACGGGGAATAGAGCAAAGAAACAATTCATTTCGCTGACCTAAAAATTCTTCTCTACTCGCCTTTTACATCAACAATTGTTCTCTTTTGGTTTTCTCCTGCACATCCCTCCCTCGGTACCGCACCTATTCTTTTCGGAGAAGTTTAGACAAAAAATCGTTGAGATGCATTGCCACAAGTTCTCTACTGATGCCCTTCTCTACGTACTTTATATCGAAAAAGTACTGAAACTCGATGTAACTACTTGAAAACTTTCAAACGAAACTCAAATCGTACTATAATATTCACCTTACAGTTGTTCTTTACATTTTAAAAACTAATTTATATAGCAGAAGTTAACGCAACGGCCAGAGATGTCATATTGGAGTCGCATAGCCAACAAGATGGTAGTTCACAGAAGAGTTGGATAAGCCGTATCGGCGCATCTGTTCTGTTGAGCATTACTTTTGGTGGATTGCACCTTTGTTGGTGGCGGATGATGATCGTACTGAAGCCCGTAGTCTGAAGTCACAACAGTTTGTTCAGAGTAGCAGATTGAAGTACCGTATCTGACTTATCTATTCTTCCTAGGCCCCTGCAGCCCATACCTTCGTCAGATTTTCAATTCACAGAATCCAGTCGAAGGAAGATTAACTAATTTAATGAATACATCGTACCCTCAACGACGTCACTTGATGGGGAGATTTCTGGTCGAAACAGTACTTCCTCCCTGGAGCGATTCATGGCAGTACGTTTGCGGATCCTCCAAGAGTGCTACATTACATACCAATGGTTAATATCGTGATTTCCTCAGCATCAGGTCGCAAAAGACGGTCAAGGAAGTGGCTTTCCAGTGATCAACCCTAATGCTGTCAGGACCCACACAACAGGATCCCTACGGTCTCTTTGTACATTCTACTCGTGCATCTGATGTTTCCTGATGCGTCGACTGAACTCTTAGATGGCCTTTGTGTTACAGGCTGCTTGTCGTTGAACGAATCATGGGAAGTTATCTTCGGCTAGGGCTGAATATTGATATCTCCATTGAAAACAGGACATGTCTTCCAGTTTTCTAAACGAAAATTGCTCAGAATCAGATAGAAATAAGCGCCGAGAGTCGCTTCTGTGCTTTTGTGCTACATTACGTAGGTTCATCCTGTAGACTACTTACAAGTTACACCTACTATTTTTCTTATGAATACTTTCTGGCTATCAAATGTGGGTACCGTGGTGTTTTCGGCTTTTCTTCGTATCTAAGTACCTTACTGCACACACGAAACGGAGCTCTTTGAGGTGTTCTCACCTCGATCGGGAACCCAGGAGTCAGTATTCTTAATAACCAAGATGGCCAGGTGAATTCAACCATGGCGGTGCAACTGTCTTACTCCCCTCCCGTTCTGAACGCGAGCAGGAGGCTTTTTCTTGGTTCTTCGACTTATCTCTATGCCAACATAATACGGCATCCATACCAGAAGATAACCTCTGTCTATCGGATTATTTGTTGAGCTCTGAGAGCGACGGTAATGAGTGGGTGGAAAACTGTCGTTGTTCTTGAGAAAATCCGCGCAGAACAGCCGCAGAGCTCTGCCTCGTGTTTGATCAAGGGAGATAGTGCCATAGAATGGAAACGAAGGAGATCGAGGAGAGTGCTCAAACACTTACGGATTTTCTCTCTCGTCAATCGCCACCCATTGTCAAACAACAGTTTCCGCACCAGAGATTCCCGGCACCTTCCAAAAAAAATCTGCCATCAGTCAATTAACAAGTGAAGTACGATAGAGTAAAGGACCGAAGGGAAACGTTTACATTGGTAGGACAAGCAAAGCCCTTTGGAAATGGAAAAGGAAGGAGTGAGAAGGACCTGCGCATAGAATCACGGTGAAACATGAATGAATAAGATGATTCGAGAGTTTTAATGGTTTACGATGATGAAAAGAGCATGGGACTAAGTGTTGGCCATAGCTAGTTCACACCACCGCTGGGATAAGCAGCAGTTAGAGTAGAAGCAACGCGCTGTGGGACTGAGGCCAGTACACGGGTAGGAGTCTTCACCTAAGCAGTCCCTGTCGACACATTGGATGAGGTTTTGGCAGCCAATCTGATTCTGGCGAGGCTTCAATTTGCTGATTAGAGCTATAAGTCGCTTCCGTTAAACACCTCATCCGATCGTAGTCCAGGTTCGACGCCAAGCTCTCGAAGGCCCAGTTCAATTCAGCAGGAACCCCAAGGGGGAACCAACTATTGACGCGAACGTAGGAACAAAGCAGTGACTGTATTCCGTGATTGTTAGGGGGGACCATAAGTGCAACAGGGAGCCGATCAGAATGAATATCGAAAATTATTCGTTCTCTGAATGGCTTGAGAACAGATGGTGTAGTTGAATTAGGACAATACAAAGCAGTTCTGTTTACTATGTCATATTATTTGTACACTTATTGTCCTCTTTATTCATCCCTTTATACGTTAACATGAGTTTGTTACGGATAGCAATACTATAGGGTAAGCAATTAAGGTGGCTTCAGTATCTTCAAGGGAATATTGTCACTAGGATAGGGTAACTAATTGGCAGAGCTGGAAGCGGCTTGAATTGTCTGCCTTATAGGTGTGGATAGGTACGGAAGATTGCAATTTTCACGAATGTTGTTTGTTATTACTGGAAATGTCTGAGTTGTCGTAAGATAAAAGGGATGGCAAAGAAGGAGTGCGGGAGGCGGGGAAATAAGGTCAGTTCGCTGCTAACCCATTCCTTGGGCCTGGTAATCCTGACCGATACGAAAATGCGTAGAGCTTTTACTGAAGGATGGCAGAAGAGTAGAATGAATCCTGAGGAAATCGTATCAAAGGAAGTAAAGGATGTTTTGGAAAAAAGCGGAGACAATAGACAAATATTTAAAGAATCGACGATTCGTATGAATCCGATTACTTTATCATTGTTTATGAAGTAACAAAACACTTTTCAGACTTATTCTGGTCTTTTCTGCGTGGTGATCAATCCGTACAAAAGACTTCCAATCTACACAGATTCCGTCGCCCAAATGTTCATGGGAAAACGAAGGTAGGCACTACGATTTATGACTTTATATTTAGGATTATTTAGGATCAAATAATGTACCAATTTTACAAATTAGGGAGGCCCAGAGCTCATGGTGGACCCTTCTGAAGTGCAATCTAGGACACGAATAATCCTCTTTCGCCAAATGGGGCAGCCTTTCTATGAAAAATAATCGGAGCCAGTATAACCAATATTTCGGATCCATTTCCGCATGAGCCTACCAGATCTTCGATTCTTCCGGGGCCTGGCTAAGTGGCACCATACTCGTCTGGGAGGATAGGAGCACTGATTTGTACATTGGCTGGCTACCGCTAGTCAATTTATAAGCTATACACGCTNTCCTGAGCGGATGTGATCAACGCCTAAAGACTTTATCCACGTATCCTTTATGATCTGTACAATCCATGAGGAAATTCTGCCCACGCTCACCTTAAAACAAGCCTCTAGACATTCCAGTCTGAGTATTTTGCGTCAGATTACTTAGGAAGGTAGGGGTGGGCGAAGGCGAAAATTGGTCGTATTTTACGCCTACGGCAATGATTGCTCTTGCTAGCTACTTCATAGGCGGGAATCACAGCAGAATCTTTCTGCAACTCTGAATGCATGGCGCATCTCTGCGCATAATCAGAAGTAAGATGGGAAGAAGAAGCGGTACGCTTTAGTAGTGCACTGAATGAGGCGGAGGTGAGGTTGAGCCAAATTTTTGCCCAGTATCAAATACCCTTGATCATGATGATTGCCAATCAGCGCCTATTCTTCCATGGAATTGTAGTTAGCGCACCTTAACAAGCACCAGATAGATAAATAGATAAATGCAAAGTAAATAAATGAACAAGTAAATAAACAAATAAGTGAATAAATGAATAGACTTCCACTTTTAAAGAACCGAGATGCCACCGCATTTGTTCGCCGTTTCCGATGAAGCCTACCGTAATATGCTACAGAATCACGAGAATCAATCTATGCTTATCACAGGAGAATCTGGAGCAGGAAAAACTGAAAACACCAAGAAGGTGAGTATCGCAGAGTATAAACGGTAGTTCATGATAATTGCATTCACAGGGACAACCCAGTTTTCCATTTTTTGTCATTAATTTGTACAAATTTAAGGTAATTGCCTATTTCGCCGCTGTCGGTGCCTCACAACAACAGCAGTTTTCGAAAAAAGAAGAAAGCACTGCTAAGAAAGTCACCCTCGAAGACCAAATCGTTCAGACTAATCCTGTGCTTGAAGCTTTCGGTTAGTAACCACATGAATACGACTATTAAGTGATTACTTGGCCACCAGAAAATGTGGGACATACTTCGCCGTCCGTTCAGGCGTCGCGAGCGAGACTATCAGCTATGTGATGTCATCAATCGATACGTATCTTGTACATTATAGGTAACGCGAAGACCGTTCGTAACAACAACTCATCGCGATTCGGAAAGTTCATCCGAATCCACTTTTCGAAGCAGGGACGTGTAGCATCATGCGATATTGAACATTGTACGTTTACCCCGTAGTTTCCAAGCCTAATTCCTAGTTAGAGGTCAGATACAGGCGGAATTCTCAAAAAGCCTACTAATTCACATTAAGACCTTCTCGAGAAATCCCGTGTGATCCGTCAAGCTCCCGGAGAAAGATGTTACCATATCTTCTATCAGCTGTTCACCGGATATGTCCCGTCCCTTTTGAAGGTTGGTAACCGTGTCGCACAGAAAAAGATAGTCGATAAGTATCACTATTTCTAGGATTTGATGCTGGACAAGCCTGTCAAGGACTACTGGTTTGTCGCCCAAGCTGAGCTGAAAATCGATGGTGTCAATGATAAGGTAGGGATTTGCTGGCGTATAAGATTGATATATCTAGAAATTGAGGGTCAAACACTTGGAAAAAATCAGATTGGTAGAAATTTCTGAAAAAAGGAACAGGGACCTCCTTTTGTCAACAGCATTCATCCACTGACTTTCGTTTGTTGTGAATACCTCGCAGCGGTTGAAGTATCGCCGTTTGGGGCCCCATACAGCTACTGTACGTTTCTCGCACAGAACAAGACGGGTAATGAAACTTTGTAAGGACCTCGAATAATCAAAATTCATGTTTGGGCTAGAGGCTGGGAACCCTGATTAGTCTTTCAAACCGTTCTACTTTCGAAAACTCCGAGTTGGTTCAGCTTATTGTTTGTAAGCAAAGCTTTGCTTTCAGGAGGAATTCCAATTGACCGATGAGGCCTTCGACATTCTGAAGTTTACCCCTGAAGAGAAGATGAACTGTTACAAGTTGGTATCTGCAATGATGCACATGGGTAATATGAAATTCAAGCAGCGCCCTCGTGAAGAACAAGCCGAAACTGACGGCACCGACGGTGAGGAGAACAGACATTCGTTGATTGTTCAGATGAAAAAGCTTTTGAGGGTGATGGATGGTACCACTAATGCTTTTGGATAGTTTTAGCTTCTATGGGGATACTGAACATGAAAAAATGGATTTCAAAATAGTGTTTGATGTGCTTATCAACGTCCGAGTTGGATTTGCCACAGGAGGGGGTTCGATGTTTCAGAAGCGGAAAAAGCATCCGCCATGTATGGTATCGAACCGGAGGAGTTCCTTAAAGCTCTTACCCGCCCACGTGTAAAAGTCGGTAACGAATGGGTAAACAAAGGACAGAATCTCGAACAGGTAAAGTGAGAATTCCAAAGGAGAAAAGAAGCAAAAGGAGGGTCAAACTTCACCCTGCTGATTCAGGTCAACTGGGCCGTTGGTGCAATGGCAAAGGGTCTCTATTCGAGAATTTTCCATTGGCTGGTAAAGAAATGTAACCAGACTTTGGATCAGAAGGGTATCAGTCGTGACTACTTCATTGGTGTGCTCGATATCGCCGGTTTCGAAATCTTCGACGTACGTCTTTTGAAGTTATATTGATTTGATGATGACGATAACTTATCGATTGGTTTCAGTTCAATTCATTCGAGCAGCTTTGGATTAACTTTGTGAACGAGAAATTGCAACAGTTTTTCAATCACCATATGTTCGTTCTTGAACAAGAAGAGTACGCTCGCGAAGGAATCCAGTGGACGTTCATCGATTTCGGTCTGGATCTGCAAGCTTGTATTGAGCTCATTGAAAAGGTAATTTCAGACTGATGCCCTGCTTGACGACTAGGGGAATAATTCTTAAAGGCAGTCGAAAAACTGAAGTTCCGACTAAAAATAGCGCATCGGTGCGGAAGAAAGAAAGAAAATCCGCGAACGCCATGAGAAAGAAGGCTTCCTAAGAGTATTGAAAATAGAAGTTGTACGAGATTACCGTGGCCGAGGGGTATTAGGACGAGATTTAAGTTGTTGAAATTGCGTAAGGAGCCGACTAGTGAAGCCAAAATTGTCCCCAAGCTGCTTTCCACTGTTGCCATGGGTCATGACAAGTTGTTGAACTCCCTACAAGGGTTCCTTTGTGAATGGTGTCACATTTACAATGCCGTTGAAAGTGGGATGTGGGATATCCATTGCATCCATATCCATCCAGGATCATTGCAATCTTTGAGCCATTAGAACGCCCTCTCCCCTTTCCGACCTGACATCGCCACATGTAGTGTATGAGGGCAACAGCTTTATCCCAAAGTTATATCTCAGAAACCATATCTATCGTGAACTATCTCTTCATCTGGAGAACGAGAATGAGAGTTCAAGGAAATCGGATGGGCAATGAGCATGGATGTAATTAAAAAGTGAACCTTTATGCATCGCTTGGAAAAGCTTATGAGCAAGAAATGAGCAAATAGTAGGGTCTGGGAAAATAAGCGCCATCTTGTTTTCTGTGTCGGAAACAGATCACCGCCGATAGACTAGGAATAGCACTAAGAAGTTGTTGTAGCACTCGACTTCTCTAAAGAATGGCACCGGCAGCAATTAGAAGCAACACTGGGCGACATTAGGGAAGTATGCAAAACCTCACTTCACAGCCTGAAGCCTTACGTTAAACGAGAATCCCAAAGCGAATCCCGATAGAATAGCAGATTGAATCGATGGAAGTGAAGACCAGTCCAATTTGGCTATATTCGATAAAATATG